CAAGGTCAAGAAAATAAAGAACACGGCTTTCAGTAAAATATTCACACAGGGTAAGGGAAGGCAAGTGGGAGAATTTTCTTTTACAAACAACGATTTCTGGGCAGATTCACTTGTGAATGGAGACTCCATGGCCTTAAAAAATTCTCATTGTGAATTTAAAAATGTTTAGCCTTCAAAGCAAGTGACTATAAAAGTTGGGTGTGCTGGTTGATATCCCCGCCGAAAATGCCCTCCCAAATTCATCCAGCAAGAAACAATTGCAAGTATCTTGGTTTGTAATGATTGGCCAGTAATAAAAATTTGATTTTGCAAACTGCAGGACCATACAATTTTGCAGATACAATTTAGAGCAAGGAAAGCGTTGGCACTTTAAATCTTAAAAATTATAATTGTAAGAAACAATTGAAATAGGGTAACAAAAGTTTTGCCAAAAATTCTAAATTGAAGAGAAACAAAATAAAAGCTGAGATATTTGCCAATAAAAACAAAGGATTAAGAGTTAAAAATTCGCACCTAAAAAGAATTCTGTTCTGTAGTTCTATTTCGTTGATGGTCTCACGGGTTGCAATAAAGGCAGTCAAAAATGTCTAATAATTATAAACCTATTTTGCATCATAGTGGTTAGTCTCACCAATTCAATTCGTTTTTCCCTTCCGGGGCGTAGCAGAGAAAAGATATTATTAATTTACAAATTAAATAACAGTTCTGTCTTACTCATTCAGTGGTGTTAATTTAGAATTGATTTCCAATTGAAAATAATTAGCAATGTATAAAGACATATCAAATTTTGTGAAATTCAATTATCTATACCCAGTAACACGGGAGGTGTGCGTAGACTTACCTCCATGTGGTGCACCCTGGGCAACGTATTCTCATACGGCAAAAAAGTCTATTAACCAGCAGTTGACTTCTGACTTTAAACTACCATGACTTCACATTATGCCATATTCGACTATTTCCACAGTATTCGCCTTACCATTTCTCAACTTTTGTGTTTGTCGCTTTTACATCTGAGAATCACTCTTCAGTTCCCCTCTTCTCTTCTCGCTTTGATATTCCTCCTTCCCTCTGTGAAGTCCGAAGTCAGTAAAGGGCTAATGATAACTATCAAACCGCCTGTCATTTGAAATAAATAAATGAATACCCAGTTACACTCTTTCCACAGAAAAAAACTTCAAATTTTGCATGAAAAAGACGAAAAGTTGGACAATATTACAGACTGTTACTTCCCCAGGCACACAATACAAGAAAAACTACAAGCTAATCGATTAATGACAATCTTCCAGATTATCAAGTCAATTTATCACCGAATCACATTCATTCAAAAAAATGATCCCAAACAACTTGAATATACAAGACATATTTGCTAGTATTTTAAAGTGAACCACACAGGTAAAACTTATTTCAGTCATTGATGAGTTCAAAGCCATGATTGACAGTCAACTTTTGGGAAAAATGGAACGTGCAACCATGTCACATAGGTAACAAACAGGGCTGTTAAAAAAAATTAAGATTTACAAATAATTTTAACCTTAAATACAAACTGAGTAAAAATAATGAGCAATTATGGTTTTATGGATTTATTATTCAAAAATTAAGCAATCATTTTATTTAAGGCATTTAAAATTGATATCAAGACAGAGGATTGAAATCGGGAATTCCGCCAAATAAATTCCATTTACAAATAAATACACGCCAAACGAAGACAATTAGACGAATTCGCTTACGATTTCCTATATTCCTTTTTAGTCATTTGAATATTTTTCAATAAAAATTAGAATCTAAAAAAATATTTCCTGTAGACACCAAATGGAACACAAAATAATCATGAGGGGTAATTTTGACTATTTATATCCGAATTAGATGTCCTTATCGGTGTCTAAATTTCATATTGAAAATTCCTTATCGACAGAACATAGCCATGGTCAAGTTATTAAAGGCCAAATATTTTCCATAAGTGTAATTAGTCTTGTCAAATCAAAAGGCACATATATTTAAATGAAAGTAATATAACCGGAAACTTAGAACGGTTGATCAAATATACTCAAACACTTAAAATTGATGGAAACTTAGGTTTACGAAACCGCCCGTTTGAAGTAAAATGCAGTGATGGATATTGAAGTTGTATTTGAACTCAAAATCGTAATTTATAAAACCGTATGCTGAGGGATTTAGGAAAATGAGCCTTTTCCTTCCAAACCTTCCAGTTGAATAGAACCTATTAAGGAAGTAATTTGAAATGTAGTCTCTTTTCTAATATGTCACGACGTCGTATGCCTAGTTCAAATACAAAGTACGTTCTATGCAAGAAGAGCAATAATAAAGTCCAGGAGAGTTCTCTATTCAACGTATGATTATTTCTAAGTTGTACTACTTATTTTTCAAATCGTATTTCAATTACATCTACACAATTTTTGTATTCTTCGGTCGCTCTCCTTCATTAAAATTCTGCTTTAAGTGAAATAGTTTTTTTTTCAATTAGTTTTCACCTTTCGTCTTTTATATCTTATGACAAAAATAATTTAAGTTGACTAAGATAGGAAGCAGAAAAAAAAAGTTTCTATTAACTGGAAAAATCGATGAACACTGGAGCGCACCTGCGTTCATAAATGATTTTTAAATGGGAAAAATCGATCAAAAATTTTCAATACTATTCCTTTCACTTCCCCAATTCTAACCCTTCTTATAATAGAAATTAAATCAGAAATCGTGGATATATTTTCAAACATCAAAATCTTGTTTTCAAATTTTTTATTTTAAAGTATTCTTCATTGTTAGGGAAGCTAAACGTGACCTAGCATCTGGGCAGTATAAAAACAATATATATAAGCTAACGAAATTCTTGTTGGAGGTACACATTTAGCATTCTATTTAAATGCAGCCTTTACAATTTCGTAGATTAAAGTTTCCCATTAACTTTTCAGTATTTTGTCAGCAAAACTAGAGCAAAAGTTACACAATTTAATTAAATTTGTAAGATACTGGAAGTAATTCGACCACTTAGAAATTATCAGCTAAAGTAAATAGGAAACTTTTTCTCTTTCTACTTCAAGCGCAAAGAATATTTAATTTGTTAACATAAGAATGAAATTCGCCAAAAATGAAATTAACCGTGGAGTGAATTGAAGTAAGAGAATTGAGTTCTGATAAGACAAATCTCAAATAGTATGGGAAAAATATCACTACAAAGGAAAATATAACTTAGTTATTGGAAACAAATTGAAAAGTATATGTCGTAGTTTAGGTTTTCCAAAATTAATTTTTAAAATTGAATTTTCATTCTTGAAAGAGGTAACCAAACCTAGCCAAGTATCCTTGTCCTATAGTTAAGGAGACAAAAGTTTTAATTCAATAGTAAACATTTGAATTACCGAATTGATGATAACACTACTTTACTACAATCTATGGGAAAGAGAAACGAGTATGTAATATTTTACTCTGGAATATATTTCAAGTTGTTAAATAAAAGAGTAAACTGGAGATCACGAAAAATTCGTTTGAATATTAAAAAATGGAATTTGATGTAGATGCCAATTTTAGGCATATGCCAAATAATTTAAACCACAAAGTTCAAAATTTAATTTAAACCTTTTTTGTGAAATTCCCATTAGCAAGAATTCAGAACTGACTTGTCACTTAAATCCACAGAATATGGTTATGCAGTGTGCTAGAGTGCAATAAATATACAAAAAACGGAGTCAGTCCTTTTAGTACCCATTATTTAACCGCATCCCGAGACAGGAGGTGATTCACCTCTGAACACATTAGTGGGATCGTTAAAAATACACATACACACCCCATTAAAACGAGTTCAAAAAGATGACGAATGAAAAGTGGATGTAGTGGCAAAGGAGTTGGCAAACTTGATCGGAAGCGCGACGCTGGTGTGGGTTATTAGCAGCAAATACAAAGGGACCGAGAATGTTGATAAGTGATACTAACTTTTGCGGTACAACAACCAGCATAACTGGCAAATCTAAGCATATATACATATTCCCTTTTCGTCAAAAGACGAACCAAAATTGACCTGTAAAATATGTATTCTTTAAAAGCCAGTATCTAGTGTAGTTGCCCTCGAAACAAATTCAAAATAGGTCTATTGTACTCTTGATTATCTTAAATCAAAGCGGATTTAATTTGGATTCGAACTGAATAAATTAATGCGTTCAATTTGTCAATTTTATTATATAGCTATTATAAGTTTGTTATTAGCAAAACAAAGTATGATGAACACTACTTAAAAATGTACATTAACCCATATGGATTATTTATGGAGATCGATAAATTAACTTTTGTATAAAATGAATACAGAATACATCTCACCACATCTTGCAATTAAAGCATTTTTCAATTTACCATACCTTAAAAACTGGCTTGCCATTGATGTTAGATAAGCTAATCTACAATTATGCTTCATAAATCAATAATGAGACATTGAATAATTACGTCAAGATTACTAAAGAAGAGACGCCTCAACTTAATTTAGAATCTGATAAAAGGATAGGCTAAATTCTGACCTATTCAAAATTCAAATCCGAAAAGTTTGGCTTGTATAGGGACAAAATTTTGCAGCCAGTTAGTTTAAATATTTTAAATACTTAGGCAATATGACGCCCCTAATAGATGCTTCGAAAACGATACCCAATTCTGTTAAATTTACTTGATTGAAAATAAATAGACAAATAATAGAAACTATCTTCATCAATATGCATAACCCCGATAGATAAGTGCTGAAAAATGCGACAAAATATATACTACCTGTGCATTATTCGCCTATAACTTTTCAAGCATTCATCAATTCTAATTCAAACGATTGATCGCAGGTTAGCAAAATGAACGCTAATGTCGCTAAAGATAGATTTATGTACTTAATTTATTTGAGATTTGATTAGAAATTTTTGGCAAAAGGTGCTAATAAAAGGACAATTAAGGAAATTCATAAATATGCGTCTGGGCTAATTCAAAGTCCGAGTACGCGTGCTCCTAACTCATGCGCGCAATTATACCCTGTGCACGAGACCAATGTTGCGTAGACGTTGATCAATAGTCGACATCAACCTATTGTGATTGGACGCCTAAAGGACAAATTACCAGTGACGAGTCTTGCCATGAGGAGAGATCATAGGGAAAGCCAATAGGATTAAATGCCAAAAGACGAAAAACACGAGCACGATAAAAAATCGCCGAAAGGCTTATTATTACAGAGGAGATGACATTTACAGTGCATAATCATAAAATTTTTAAGTAAAGGGAGATTCAAAGTATGACAACTGTTAGATAATATATTATCATAGTATAATCTTCTAAAATGAAGGCATAAAAGCTTCTAAATTGATGAAAATTTCATTTAACTATCGTTTTTATTATTGAACGTAATATATTTTATAAGCTATATTCAATCAGAAAATCATAAGCACTCACAAGGGAGCTGCTATTGGTGAATGCTCGCGAATCTGTCATATCAAAATTCCTTGAATTTTCCTTCGAAGATGCTACGTCATATGAAATTATGCCGTCATCAGAGGTAACATCAAGATCATGAGGCTTTTTGTCATTAGAAGCGGCACAAAACCCATTTGACTCGATGTGATTAATTGGACTATTTAATTTAAAACGAACATCTTCTACTTTAGTTGACTTTGTTGAATGCTTGCAACTACTGTTGCCAGAAGGTTGAAGAGAATCCAAAGAAAATGAAGTAACGTCCTGTGTATGAAACGCGGAGAATGATTGAGAAGGAATGCAAAGAGCTAGCTTTTTGATAACATCTGTTGTTATTTTCTTCAACTCATTTGCTGAGGCGTCGATCTCTGCTACATCGTCTGTTGGCCAACCTGACGGGGCAAAGCCAGAAGATCTAATACCAATTATAAGTAAATTATTTAACAGACCTTGTGAATCTGTTCAAGAAACTTTGTTTCATGACCTATTCACGGGTTATCGCATTTCAGTTAAATCATGCGGAAATTATTTAACCTTAAACTATAAATTTTTCAGGTGTTTTAAACAAACAAAAATATTTAGTTTATATCAAATATTATCACGAAAATTATTTATTAAGATTTTACCGAGAATGAAAATTTAATTAATTTTTAATTTTAAATTGTTAATGTCCACAATTTAGTCGTAATAACTTAACGATTAGTGGTAATCTATAAAATTCCGTTACTTAAATGAAAGCCTCCTTAATAATGAATTATATGTATATAACTGAATTCAAAAGTTTATCTCGGCTTATATTTTCATGCATGCATGAACATTGTATTTGCTACTATGGGAATGTTAATTAGGGTTATATTTTCACATGACAAATAACGTAAAATATTGGACATTATTGGAGCATTGAAATATAGTTATAATCCCTTCAACTAATAGCTCATTGAGATTACGAGACAACTTGTATTTTATTATGAACTATATGGACCTTTGAATTTTCGAATGGCTTTCCCAGTGTAACAAGAAAGGAGAAAATTTTTGGAATCAAAATATGCATGCACATGCTTGCTCTGATTGTTACTGAAGAAACAGCATAAACATACTTTTTCAATTTATTTTTCGTTATCTATTCTGTTATTAAGCCGTTTTAACTTTCAGCATAGAATTTAGGCTTATAAATCTTTTTGTGCAAAATATTGCCTTCGCTGCAATAAGAATTAGTATTTACTGAGTATCACTGTATATCTGTTACAAAAGCCTATACCCCAATGCGGGTATTTCAATAAAAAATAAATTAATATAGTAGCACCACATGATTTGAACCGAATTTCTCTCAACTGACATTAGATAAATAGAGCAGAGCAAACAGGAGATAAATTCAAGTATTTCCATCTAATTGGTTTATTTTCATAAAATAATAAATGTTTTTAAATGTTTTATTGGGCTCATTAACCACAAAAAA